GATAAAAGTATAACTATGTAACATGTCTTTGTGAAGAACTAAACAAACTATTCTGCCCTTAAGTCACATAAACAGTTATTTGCAAACAACAAGAGAAAAACAGAACTCACTGAGCTGAAGTTTCCCTCGTTGTTTCTACGATGAAGATGCACAACACGTAAAACACTGAAACTCCGCTGATAAAAGGGAAATGTGTCAAGTGTTCCTCTCTCACTCACACACACACACACACGCACGCACACGCACGCACGCACACACACACACGCACGCACACACACGCTTTCATCATTGGTGTACTCTGAACAAACAGGAAGTAAAGCACCGATTCAGTGCAAACTTAAAGCTACAAGTACAAATATTAGCATATAACAGACTATAAAACTATTGTTTCTGTAAAAAAAAAAAGTTTCCTAAATTCATAAATTTTAATTTAATAATAATATAATTCTTTATTTATTTCAAAACATATGCAATTCTACTTTATATACAAGTCCTTTACATAAACATTTTTATACATAGAGTAAATGAAACATTACTCTCTTTAATTTATTACATTATCTTTTACTTCTCGAATTTGATATATATATATATTGAATATTTGAATTTTGTTCACTGTGTGAAAAGTTGAATATAAAACAGAATTGTCATTTAAATCTGTATTCAAATTCTCAAAGTGGCAGATGATCACTGTTTTTATATCTATACTATTTGGTTTTATTTGAAGTCCATACACATGTTTCACAACAATGCTTTATGTAAATAAAGAAAAGAAAAGTAACCATGGCAACGTTAACCTCCATCGGCTCAGAGAGCAGGAAATCAGCATGAAACAAACCGTGGATACAAATGACTTTATTGGCTTGCTACTATTGGAGCACGGACTTAAATATAGAGGGGAGGAGGAAGAGGTGCATGCTGGGAGGGTCAGGCCACCTCCTCCATGTAGTCGGCCCCGTGACTTTGGCTGAGCTGAGAGACGCTCAGGTCCTGCGTGCTGTCCCCCCCCTGCAGAGCAAACAGAGCACACTGGGTGACCCAGGCCGTCCTCTTAAAGAGACAGTACGCGCAGGAAGTGAGGTCACCTGGTTGCTGACGTCGGGTCCCTCGATGGAGACTTCCTCGATCTCCTCCCCGATGCTCAGCTCGCTCTTCGAGAGGTCCGACCGATGGCTGTGATCAACAAACATCGTTATTATTATCTACATTATTATTGTTTACACAAAGCTCTGGGTCTAAAACCACAGAAGAAGAATCCATATCAGCCGCTCTCACCTGGTGAAGTCGTCGTCGTATTCAACATCGTCGTCTGGGAAAAAGAACAGAACGGTCAATAAACTAAATAGAAATAAGTTGTGGTTTTATTTTAAACATTTCAAAATGGCTGCCAGATGTCATTCAAACGTATTTGACAGTAAACATTCTCACAGCGAGTTAATCGCGGCACCGTTTGTGGTTATTTGCTTCATTTGGAGGGCGGGACTTATCTCCATGTCAACCGCCATCAACTCAGGCACAGAAAAAAGCGTGAATTCGTGTTGTTAATTTGAATGAATAAGTGGGGCTGATAGGTGTAACAGCGGCTCAGTAGATAGTCATGAGGAGCAGCTCAACTCTGATTGGCTGTAACT